TTTATGGCCTTAAATTATGTAGTCACGCAAAGCGAGTGCACTTTATGTCGTTGAAGATGTACGCACTGTTTACTGATGTTCCGATAAATAATCTGCTTTAATGTGAATATAAGAATAGTTGAATAATTCCCATTGTATCATTATTCAGCGAAGGGACTCTTATCAACAAATTTATTATCAAGCTATAAAATTGTATATACAAATATGGTTTTTAAAAAATTATATCCGGTGAGGGAATTGAATCATAGGTGTGATAACCTTTAAACTCCAAGTTGATGAATAAGGTTTACTTGAAACTGAGTCGGTAATCAGTTTAGACTGCTTATCTTTCATGATACAGTCAATAAATCGGTTAGGGTAACGGCTTTTGGCGAGCGCGTCTTTTAAGAAATCAAGTTCTGAGTCAACGTAGTCAGAACTTCAAATATTCCTTATCCTAAAGAAGAGCGAATGAATTAGGTCCATTTTCCTGGAGATAGGCACCCAATCATAAGAATTAGTTGATTGTCCGTTCCACGTACGTTTTTGGTGAGTGAATCTTTTCAGAGATGCCCACACCCTTGTTTTATTAATTGTTCCTCCTGATTCTTCTCTGGGTCTGGTTAGAAAAGACTATCATAATACGTGGAGTTCACTCCACAACACACTGGTGGTATTTATTATTTCTTTACACTATTAAATACACATTGTTTAGAACTCTTAAATATTCTAACTGAATAAAAATTTCCATTAGAATTTTTTCTTTAAGAAGAATGATTACTGAACAAAGAATACTCTTTTCGATAATCTTCATCATCAAGCTCTACAGTTATATGTACATTATAGTGAATGAATGAATTAATGTTATGAACAACATTAATGTTGCTGTTTAAATAACATCGAATCAATAATATTGATAGATTACAGCTAAATAGCATAACTCAACATGAAATAAGCTGAATGTCAGAAAAAATAGGAAAGATAATATTACAAATTCGTGAATTTGTAATCTCTACTGAAGGCCGACCAGGGCAATAGTAGGGGCAGGACTTGCCTCTTTTGAACACAGAGCACTGGTTGTTTGAGACGAATTGCAATAGCCTCTGTTGTTAGGAATATGCGGTGCTTTGATGTTTTTGGCAATTTATTAGGCACCCGGTAGATTATAGAGAAGGATTCTTTCATGCTGGCTGGCTCTGCGGCCGGTTCGCACCCGATGGTCTAACGTCGAACTGTTGATATCTTTTAACTACACCTTTATTTATCCATACTGGGAGATGTGCGTTGGTGGCACAGTGGTTAGGACTCTCGCCGACCATGCACATGGTCCGAGGTTCGAACCCCCGCCGACGCACACCTGATATCTATGGTTGGCCTGCAAAATTTGGGCTACCGATATCCATGCTGAAAATTCCATACTTGTACCAAAAATACAGTGTGGAATCAAGCTGTAAATAAAAAAATATGTTCTCGAGTACGAAAAATCAAGTTCCTAGAGCAACGGCCAATATAACTCGCTCCACCATCAGCGCAGTTGAATTGGTAGATACAATTTGAAGTGGCCAGCTAGTCTAGGTACTTCATCTTTCAGTCGAGGAATCACTATCGGTGGTGTGGAGAATAAGACGTGTAGTTCGCCAGCATTAAGAGTTCCTTGAACCGATTTCCTTAATTTCCCTGTAATTATCTCACTTGGTATATCGCTCTTGAATTGCAGTCGTATATAAAGTGGCTTCTTGTTTACAGATAGTGAGTAGTCTTTTTCCGCCGCCTTCTTTGTCATATGTTTCTTGATAAATTTTTCGGGATAGCTATTTTCGATCAAAGTATCATATACAATGCTTAATTCATCTTCACTTACTTCTTCTGAGCATATGGCTGTAACTCTGTGACTGAGGGTCTTTATTAAATTTCTGTTGTACTTGATAGGAACGAAGCTGTGAAAATGTGTATATTATCCTGTCCAAGTACTTTTTCTATGGAAATATCCTTTTATGCTACCATCTAGTTTTCTTGTATGGAGGATATCTAGAAAGGCGATTCTGTTCTGGGGTTGATCTTCACATGGGTGTACTTTATTGAATTCAGTTATTATTGTACTCCTATCCGAATCATTATCACAAAGAATGAAGGTGTCATCAATATACCGGCAATAAAATGAAAACTTTCTGATAAGATTGTTCAAAGGTGTATTTTCTAGTTAACTTAGAAATAAATCTGCCAAAATGGGGCCCAATAGAAAGCCCATCGCTACGCTGTCCACTTGTCTGCAAAGTGTGCCGTCATATTTGAAATTTACATTCATGGTACTGCCTTGGCCTTCAGTAGAGACTAGAGATTCACGAATTTGTATTATTATCTTTCATATTTTTTCCGACATTCCGTTTATTGTTATGTTGATGCTTTTGAGCTGTAATCTATCAATATTATTAATTCGATGTTATTTAAACAGCAACATTGATGTTGTTCATAACACTAATTCACTCATTCACTATAATGTATGTATAACTGTAGAGCCTGATGATGAAGAGGTTATCGAAAAGGGTGCTCTTTATTCTGTGACCATTCTTCTTCTATCAAGAGTTCAAGAATGAGGTAACAACAGAGAATCCGAAGAGAATTCCTCCTAAGAAATCGAAGAGGTTTTCCTTCATAGCTATTTTTAAGAGACGGTAATAAAATGTCACTTGGTTGATTATGATAAACTCTGGAATCCGAGATTTGTCAGGTGGATGTATCTGTCCCCGCCTTCTCCAGTGAATGATATTGTTCCCTAGTCGATCTGCGCATGCATATTTCTAAATGCTAATGCGTTATTCACTTAACCAGCAGATCACGAGAGCCATATTAACTTGGGCAAATGAAATAATGCCTCATGCATTTGTTTTCACTGGTAAGCTTGACCAATCCGTTACAAAGAATAATCACATGGCTTACGGAAACTTATAAGCCATAATGAACATGTGACTGATTAATTAACATAATGTTGATTGCCCAGGTTATATGGTATCTACTTTTATTAAGCTTAACTAATATGACAGAATCACAGCATAGGTGTGAGAGCTGAAGGTAGCTAGCGGCTGCTGACACAAGAAATTATCTATTTAAACTTAATTAATAAATAAATAAATAAATAAATAACTTCCTCAAGATGTTTTTCTGTCAAAGCCAAGTTTGGGAAAGTGAGATAGACATTCATTGCTCTAAAGTCTGTGTGAAAATCTGGGCAGTTTAGCACAAGGCAAGAGATCTGAATTATTGACACTGATATCAAGATGGAGGTATCATATAGTTCAAAGACTAGGTTTGTCACAGAACGTAATCCCAGCACCCTTATGTAGTTTTCTATGATTTGCTACCTCCCCTGTTTCGATGCTGAGGATCATACGATCGGCCAGAATCTATAAACAAAAACGAACTCTCTCTCTGTCTCTCTCAACTAACGGACAAAGAATCTATCGCACAGCAAATATGAAGCGTGAGGTGGATATGAGGATACTGCTGAGCAACATCACGCAATGGCTTCTGGAGTGAAATCCTGTTGGGATGCTACGAATGCATAGTATGAATGATTATGTGTAACTGAGGAGTGAGTTGTGAAAGACATCAGAGAAAAGAATAGAATAGCGGTGTGCTGCTGAAGCACATATGTTCCGCGAGGAATCCAAGAGAATGATAATTTCCTATAGTTGGCTTGTAACGATTAGTTGTGTTTTTACGAGTTTGACGACGGAATTGATGTCAGCTAGAGAACCATTAAAAAACAGCCATGGAGTAGTGGACAGATGTTTCATCCTAGTTTGGGAATTCTCGGCAGTACACACTCACCACCAACAAGGTTCGAACCCAGGACCTTCTGGTTACAAGGCTAGCGAGCTTGTAGACCATTAAGCCACTGGGAATCGATTCAGTGGTCAACCCATGAATTCTAATTTCTGCCAATTCGCGATTTAGCGTGACCCCAACCAATGTCATCAGTGGGACATCCATCCTCACACGTGACTGGATAAACCTCACTGGTCATGACTTCTCACTGCAGAAACTTAATCTGATGCTCGCTAGTGACTTACTACAGGACGAAGTTCCCTGGAGTTCTAGTGAGAAGTCATGACCAGTGAGATCCATTCAGTCAGGTGTAAAGATGGATGTCCCACCGACGACACTGGTTGGGGTCACGCTAAATCACGAATTGGTAGAAGTTAGAATTTATGGGTTGGCCACTGAATCGGGTCCCAGTGGCTGAATGGTATACGAGTCACCTTGCCTTGTAACCGTAAGCACCTGAGTTCGAACCCTGTTGGTGGTGGGTGTGTACCGCCGATGACTCTCAAACTAGGAGGAAACAGCTGTCTAGTACTCCATGGCTGGTTTTCGATGGTTGTCTAACTGATATCGATCCAAGATCAACTCGTAAATGATAATTTCCCCAATCTTATATTTACAACCAGTCGCAAAGCGCCCTAAATACAAAATTCAGATGGGAAACAACGCCCATGCAACTAACAGTATCCGCATCATAAATAAATCATTAATGTGAGGAAGATTATAAAATATCAAACAGTACTACCAAAAAATGCTTGAAGGCGCTACTTGATTATTAGTCACCACCTATAGATTAACATGCAGTTGGAAATCACAGGCCTGGCTGAAGTCTCTTTACAAGGCGTCAACACACCTGGTAGGGATAAACAACAGAAAGTCCAGGGTTTTAACAAAAAGAAAACTGAATTTTATGTCAAAGGAAGTATCTCTTCCGGATGGACCGACAGCCTTGCATATAATGATGTAATGTTAAAGATAACGCATTCTCAAACCTCATCTAGCCAATGCTAAACCCGGAAAAGAGGAAAAGCTAGAGACCACACCTCATGAAAAACAGCAACACCACCTCCAATAAAACTTCAAAAACCTGAATTCTGAAGCCCTATGTTCCAATCGCAAAGCAAAAATATAAAAAGGTATTAAAAGCGGTTATGCAATAAATATATTGGTTTTGAGAAAGTTATCTTCTAAATACTAACCTGTAAGATGTAATTTATACACACCGGGTTTACATAAGTGTAGTGGACATTCATTCAGGTAAACTCGGTGATAATAATTACTATTCCCGGGAATCCAACTTAATTTAGCTGATTTTGTTCCAATTTGTGTCGCTTTCAATCGGGCTGGTGTAGCTGTCATCCCTCGACCAACGACCAATGTACACTGTGCATCTTTCGATTGACCATGAGAAGAGATAGAACGAATGGAAATCCTATGAGGCTGGTTTAAAAACAAAAAAAGTCGAAAATGGCAGTGTTTTATTATAAGGGTGGATACTTAGTTAAACATGAAAATGCATTCAAAATGTATTCAATTGTTGGTTTGTAGGAATTCGATTTGATTGGTTACAGAACTTTGATCATGTGCTGACTTCGGTTAGATAACCATTGAAAAAAACTAGGAGATTCCTAACTAATATGAATCTGATGCTCACAAGAGGCTGACCCTATTCAGATACACATTTACTTGAGTTCTAGTGAGAAGTTGTAACCAGTGGGCTAGAGCAGATTGGGTGTGAGGACAAATACTAGCCAGAGATGACATTTGCCGGTGGCAGAAGTTGAAATTCATGAGTTGGCCATTGGATTGGGTCCCAGTGACACAATGGTCCTGGGTTCGAGCTCTAGTGGTGGGTGCGTAATGGTGAAGAGTCTCAAGGTGGGGCAAAATGGATGTCCAGTACTCCTGGATTCTCCAAGGATCCTCCAGCCAATGTCAGCTCATGGTGAAATTCTGTAGCTTCAAAATGTTTATGCTTTCCTCTTAATAACTGAAATTCATCAGGTTGAGAAACGGCGTAATACAATACTAAATAGCCTGGTGACGGATGGGCAAAAATGATCAGTAATACTATTGGCCATGCATTAAATGTATTCCATTATAAGTAGAACGGATTTTGAGCTCAGTTCCACTATGTATTAGATGGGGGAATCCAAACTGTTATGATTCACAGAAAGCTAAACAACGACAATTCTCTTAGTTTATTCTAATAATAATGAAAATTGTAGACAACAACTTACGTTCACATCGCGGATCTGGGTCATGAGTACACAATAACAAAGGTTAACCATGAGAAACTCAACAACCAATCACAGCAGACTTAATGTGTGCAAATACGATTCGCAGATATGTGGCTTTACTTTGTAAGAAAGTCAAATATCGTAGACAACAATTTACGTGAATGTTACATCCCGAATCAGGGTTATGAGAAAAAACAGTAACAAAGCTTAACCTTGAGGTACTCACCAATCAATCGCAGAAAATTTAACGTGTGCAAATAAGATTCTCAGATATGCGGCTTAACTTTCTAAGAAACGGTTACAAGTAGTGCAGAATAAATATATATATATATATATATGCGTAGTATTGACTTGAGTGAGGTTGACTGAAGAGTTTCAGGCGACGACGAAACAAGTGTCCAGCTGATTGATGGTTTTCTAATTTTCGCTAAATATTAACACCCATATCAGGGCAAACAGCTGAAACCGTTATGCAAAGATTAGAATTAATAGCCCTACCTATAATTAAACCAAAAATCTAGGTACATTACACTGATGACACATATGTAATAATTTAAAGAAATGATTTGGAATATACCCACAAGTGAATAAACAACATATTTGAAGACACTAAATTCACCATGAGTGAAGAAGAATTAGACAACAAAATTCCATTCCCACATGTCTTAATGGAAAGAACTAAGACAAGAAATTTATAAACACATGGAGAAAATCAACACACACACAGATCAAATACTCAACTATGATAGCAATAGCCCAATGACTCACAAGAGAAACTGTGTGCACGCATTGTTTAAAAGAGTCCGAACATTCTGTAGTACTCCGATATTGAAGACAATAGACAAAGAACACCTACTAACCGTCTTCAAAAAGAATGCATATCCTCAGAATTTCATCAAAAAGTGTTTAAACTAGAGTCAGAACACCGACAACACACCATCATCAAAGACTACAAGAAAATTAATTCTACCATATATAAAAATATCTCTAGAATATTAAGACCGTTTGAAACAGATATAGCCAGCCAGCACAATCACTTCATTCGATATTGTGCAAAAACTCAAAGATCCAACAGAAAAAGAAGATAAAATTACGATCATTTACAAAATAAACTGTATGAACTATAATAAACATGACATCCGTCAAAGTAGGCATCTCCTTGAATTCCTCATTCAAGAACACAAATAAATTGTAAAGCGGCATGATATATACATTCTTTCATATCAATGCATATTGATAATTATAGACACCAATTTGATGATTGGGATAGTGTAGACATATTTTAAATAGAAGAAACATCGAAAGTGATGTCAGGGAATTTCTAGAAGCCTCCTGGTACTCAAGTGAATCAGCCAGAGATTGACAAGCACACATTTTATTGCAGACCAAATTTATTGGCTAGTAAAAAGGAAATCACAAGACAAGAAAGTTTGAATTTCAAGTCAATAAAAATATGATCAACAGAAATGTAAATTAAGAATCAGTCGCGACAGTGGTTGCTAGGCGATCCAATGATATCATCATTCATGGATAGTTCAGATAAATTCACTTAATGCTGAAACCCGCGTACAGGATGTCGTCTAGAAGGACGACGAAAGCTTGGCAATTAAACTGACCAGTTGAAAGAACACAACTTAGTCCGTATTGTACCCTAAAATCCCCATTGAGTCATATGGAAAAGAGAAAGTGTTCAGCGAAGAGACTCTTTTCGGAGAATTTATTCACGTAGCAACTGTACAATCGCATTTATATATAATTATTGTGTAGATGAGGTTTGTCACGTTTAGATAATTAATCAGGTGATACAGGAATGATCTAATATAGAAACAAGTTTAGTTAGACAGTAACTAAAGTAAGATTGAGTTAGTAAGTTAGATGATGTATTATGATTGACTAAAATGTCTCAATGCATGGAGGATTTCATCATGAGCTGACATCAGTTAGAGAACCACTGGAAAACCTTGGAGTACTGAATAGCTATTCTCTAACTGATTTTAGCTTATGATGAAATCATCCATGCAATCAAACAAAATCCCTTCAAGACCAATACTTTAAAATATTTCAACTTAGGTCAGGGTAGCAACAGAGGTAATTACAGGTAGAGACTAAGTAAAAGTGGCGCAGATAATAATGCCATTTAAATTAGAACTGAAACTGAGCAAATAAATTGGATCACATAATATAAATGACTAGAAATTGAGCGTTGTTCGAGTCAGTAACAATGGTAGTGAGGTGTAGAAATTAAATGGGGTAAGGGTAGAAAATGAGATGGTTGAAAATGCAAAATATTACAATTGACAAGACAAAATAATACTAATGAGGAGACAGAAAAAAAGATTAGGTAGATTTTACTTGTCGGGTAATAAGATAGATTAAGTCCATTGCAAATGTAGTGATTGATAGAACTTCTTCTGTATGCAGAGTTCAGGACTTAGCAAGTGAATCACCATTGTTTCTGCAGTTTGAAGAAGTCTGATTCGTACACCTTTAGGAAGACTACTTCGTATTCTGCAGATGAATTTGAAGTTTGTTTGAGATACAGCTTGGTGTTCGGAATCTATCAGATGTTCTAAAGTAGAGATGCGGGGACATCGTTCCTCTCCTTTGTAAAACTATTTTGGTAAGTGTTCAGTGATACGTTTGGAAAGCGAACGCTGGGTACAGATGACATACCTAGCTCCTCACGAGCAGATTAATTGGTAGATACACATTGATGAGGCCAGTAGTGGTAGCTTATCCTTCACGTTCATAAGAATCACAGGTTTTGTGAAGAAGGTTTATGGTAGTTCAGCTGCGAAGAAGGTTTTCTTAACTGAACATGATAGTCGATTTCTCAATATCTCCGCAGATGAATCTCCATTGAATTTAAGGACCATGTAGAGCAGCTTTTTCGGGACGCCAAACTTGAGTGTCAGTATTAGTTTCCGATGACTTGAAATATCCTAATATACTTTAGAGTACTTACCATTCTGAGAGACTCAGTGAAATTTTGAAGCGTTTAATTCGGTAATGAAATAAAACTTTTAAAATATTACAAACAGATCGTATCCTAGCAGACATAGTAACAATTTTTCGTTTAAAAAAGTGCCTCTTTCTAATCACATACCTTGTCTGCATCAACATTATCGATTAGCGCCCGTGTTTTCTCTTTAGCCATTACAGCTAATCGGAATTGTCCATCCACGTAGATATGGTAGGCTGAGACAATTTTACCATCATTCATTGAGCTTAACTCCGGTGGTTTCCAACTAATAAGGATACTTTGAAATAACTGTCGCTCTAATGTAATCGAACGGGGTGCTGGGACATCTGAAGTAGTGAAAGGAAGAGGAAGTAAAGAGGCGAAAACGAAAGTAAGGCTGATTGATGAAAATAATTTTGATTGACTTCAGTTTGGGAACCATCAAAAGTCGAGGAGTGATAAGGGTCAGCTGGGTTACACAGTGAATTCACTTAACATTGAACTACTGGGACAGTATTCAATGGGTCGTCAACTCTTACTTTTGGTAATTACTGAGTTGAAATGTAGCATTATTATTTATCATCCAATCACAGTTTACAAAGAATCTGTGACATTAAAATGCGTACTACGACAATAGGATGTACTAGGTTGAATCTTGAGAAAACGTCATACTGTTATGTAACTGAAACACCTGTTTGACTTATGTTTAACTTAATAATGTTAACGATGTTTTCAAGCGAAAATAAAGTGGTATATGAATGTCTAAGTGGTTCAGAAATGACTTTTTATCAAAAAGGCTGATGGTATCAGACTTTAAGAGACTGTTAAAAATCTAGCAGAGTAAGTGTCTCCTTATTCTAACGGACCCATAACCTTGCATGTTTCTATAAATTCATAACATATATATCGTCAGTTTTATTATACACTTGTTTTAATTCTTAAATAAATGAACAGTGTTCATGGTCTTTGTTTACTCCAATGATAAAATAAAATATCATACAAAGACGACAGTTTGGCATGCGATTCTTTCTTGTCAAATGTTAGATGAATCTACAGGACTGGACTACACTGACTAGCACCTAGATTAAATATTGGGGGTGAAGTGATTGATGGAGCGTGTTGACCACTTCATTTATTCGGGGAAATGCATCAACCAATGCACCAACAGGTTAATTACTGGCGAAATCTCAGCACCGACGCAGAGGGCTCGTTTAGCATTTATCTGTCAATGTACGCCATCTCTGGCTTAGTAGAGGTGATATCCGGTTGGCTGTCAACTAAAGGACGTATGTAGTAATCAGCAGTCCACTTCATCATGTTTTATGGCTGTGGGGCAAGAAAAGGCCGGCTAGATGTTTTTGATCAAAGGTGTCTGCGGCCTATCTTCCGTGTTAAGTTGTATAATGGGGCGAAAAATATTGAGGTTAGGCATCGGTCGAGTGCTAGGTTAGCAGGGGAAATCAATCGATGAGGTTGTGAAGTTACACCGATTGAGATAGTCGCAACATGTGTTACGCATGCATCCCTAGCCGTCTCTTTCCTCATTGGGCGATTTTAGCTTACATAGGATCAATGAGGTTGGAAAAGAACTAGTGGTGGTCAAATGAAAACATGGCATCAGTCCATGAAGTCTTCAACAGTTGGTTCAAGTCAAGCAGGGAGATTTAGGCTACTTGTTTGAGTCCTAAGGGTGGTGAAAACCAGTGGCTGGAGACAATTAGTGATATGGCTCAAAATCGTTCTCGATGATGGCGTAGATTCGTTCACCTCTGTGATTTGTCATATGCAATGAAGTTTTATCGTTCTTCGTACTACTATTCTATTTCTCTCACTCACACTCCTGGTTTTACCTCTGTTTTGAGTCTCTCTTTACTCTTTCCTCTTGCTATATGTGTTAAATGGAGAGCTGCAACTCAAATTGTCATACATCTGTGTAAAGTTCAATGTTGAAATCCTTTAAATTGGTTTCGGGTGGAAGTGGATCATAGTGAGAAACAGTTTCTTTTAGTTCAGTTTACAGTCAGACTGAGGATTATTGCTCTGCATTATGAATCACTGGATCACAATGAAGATTATGACTGTTAGATCACGCGCTAACATCATTTAGAGAACTATTTGAAAATCAAGGAGTACTAGACATCATGCATGATCACCTAAAAGTTAATCTGATGCTCACTAGAAACTGGCTGTATACAAGAAGTTACCTGGAGTTCTATTGATAAGTAGTGATCAACGGAGTCCACCATATCAGGGGACAGAACAGTTATTCACCGACGATACTGGCTGGTGGTTGCTCTATGAATGTCGTGAATTGGCAGAAGCTGGGATTCCAGTGCTATTCAGTCGGGTCCCAGTATCTGAATGCTTTTCGAGTTCAATTTTTAGACAGTAGGTTCATGATACAAACCCTGACGAGTGAGTACATCCAAACCAGGAGGAAACAACCGTCTAGTACTCCCGGATTTTCCAATACTACTCTTACTGACGTCATCTCAGGACAAAACCTGTGACTAGTCAAATCCTTGCAAACCATTACTTAAAAATTGTGGTAGTTATCGTGATGTGAACTATTTTTTCCAGCTTCAGGTAAACAAAAGCTAGACATTATGGTTTTCAGCGTTCCAATTTTTCATAAAATCTGCATTGCAATGACTAATTAATTATCGCGCTGCGTGAGATAATGAAGTGATACTCACCTGTTGACTTATTGGACTCTTCAATCACTTGGAATAATTCAACAAGATTGGGATCATTGCCTTCTAAAATATTGATAAAAGATAGAGAAAGCAATGCAGTTCCATCAATATATGTGTGCAAAACTTGGGTGCCGTGGTTGTAGGATTACTAGATATATCACACCCACAGTGTGAAACAGTATTATTTACTGGATGACAAAGTTTCAAACACAATTTATCTATTGTTCATAATCATATCAGGCTTAACCACAAAACTTCGAAACTTGAGTTTTATAGTTTTCTTTGATCTCTCCTATTTGTCGTCGTAGGGTAGTAGAATTTTCCAGAAGACTGGATGGGTAGGTGCAGAATCATTCCTATTACACGTGTTTGCGGTTGATTCGACAAAAAATAAAGCTTCCCTTATCAATCTCTGCCTCCACCATGTGACATTACATTTTAAAACTATCATCCTATCTCATGTTATTGGATGGTTGTGTGTAATTGCATTTATTGAGTGCTATAGCTGAACTATCCTCTAGATTCCTTATCTTATTCGGGTAAACCAATCTAGATTTAGTTAGGCTTTTGTGCTGCACTAGTCTGTCTGATTGAGTGTCCCCGTTCTACTACTTTGCCCCATGTGTTTGATCAAACATTCATTGCAGTGTATTAGATAGACTAAATTGTTTCCATTAATTGGCTCCACAGGATTGATCCTCTAACCGACAAAGCTTAATTCCAATTGAGTTTGCGGGTTTGAATGCCACTTTCATGCCTGCCTTGTTAAGAATTCTGCGTAAGGCTTCCGAGTTTCCTTCTTTGTGTGGAAGTACTTCTGATGATTTAGATTCCTTATTGTCGGTGTTGTCTTGCACATGTTTGACATGCATGTCGTCATTAATATCACTATTATCATTATTATTGTTATCACTATCACTACTATTACCATGTATATTATTTTTATATTTTCCTACATACTTCTGGGTAAGTATTAAGTTTCAAAGCTTCTCTTATATGCCTCACTTCCTGTCTCAGATTTTCCTTGGTACTAATTAGTTTTAGTGCCCTATTACTTAAACATTTCACCAATCCTATTTTTACTGACATAGGCTGGGATGATCGGAAGCCCGAAAATCTGTTTGAATATGTGGGTTTCCTGTAAACACTAGTGTTTGACTTCCTTTCTATTTTCTTTTTTACGCTACAATCTAACACTTGGAGCTCACTTCTTGACTTTCCAATTCACAAGTGAATTGAATTGCCTCCATTTTTAAGTTAGTGTGTTCGAAAAATCTATCTATATCCTGTGCTCTAACTACACTGAATGTGTCATCTGCATACCTTGTCCATAATTTTGGGGTGGGGCTAAACGTTTCAGTCGCTATGTCTTCCTGCCTCTCCATGAATATATCTGCCACAAGCGGGTATACTGGTGACCCCATGGCAACTCCTTCTGTTTGTCTGTATATTTTCCCTTGGAATTTAAATACTGTGGAAGTCAGGCATAGCTGTACTCTCAGCATTATGTCCTCAAGTGGCATTTTCGTCCTAAGTTCCAGTTCTTGGTCAGAAATGAGTCCGTTTCTGACTACCTCTATAGCCAAATTTTTCGGTATACGTGTGTATAAACTGACAATGTTTTTGGTTCATAAGAATTTGTAAGTCTTGATTTTTTGAGCGGCATTTGAGGGGATTTAATACCATGGCTAAATATATAGTAAATCCAGAAGTGGGTGAATTTCTAAAATCAATATACGTCTGATAGTGTATCATGACTTATGAACTTTGACAACAGCATACATCCTAGTGGGGTTATTAGTTTTCGATGGGATAAGATGACAGTTCTAAAATCTGATGTGACAGGGTGTAAGGAAAGATTGATAACGGAAGCTTTATATTTTGTCGAATCAACTGCAAACACGTGTAATAGGAATGATTCAACACCTGTGCAGACGGATATCTGGAAATTCTACTACCCCTACGACAACAAATGGAAGAGAACAAATAAAGCTATAAAAGGGAAGTTTCGAAGTTGTGTGATTATAATTGATACGAATATGAGCAGTAATAAATTGTGTTTGAAACTTTGTCATCCAGTAAATAATACTGTTTCACACTGTGTGACACATCTAATAAACAAATTAACATGTAATGAAGTTCCAGATTTTCATAATGCTTAAGGCTGACTTATGCAGAGTAAGTGAATTTTGAAGGTGCAGTATTTACGTGAGTATGTGAAGAACTGACGCTGACCAGAAAAGGATTAACAATTCATGATTATTTTGACCATAGTTTAGAAATTCTGACTACTACACCTCCAGAAACTCACAAATGATCAAACTGAAGCCATCAAACTCGTCAGAATTCGACTTTATTGAGTCGCATGCCATTTCGATGGTGGGAATTGTTGTTGTAAACCCAAAGGTTTTCAAAATGTGAACTGCCTCTTCAGTGGCTCTCTGCGTAAAACAATTAGAAAGGACTACTTTACAACGACTGAACAAATCTGTTCTTTTGTGAATAATTTCACTCGATTTGTTGCACAGTGGAATTTTCGTACTATCATTTGGCATACTACTTCGTTAGGAGACATTCACTAAACGAACTATTTAGTGCAGTTATATAACTGTTTAAGACCTTTGAAAGTTTCTTCGTCATGCTCTTTGTTTATCGCCTCCATTGCTGTCACTATAAATAAAATAACGTCCAAATTAAAGCTAAAGTCTAAGTGGAGATTCATATGACGTGGTGATACACGAAGGTCTGTCATTTCGGTCTGTAGAAATGAATAACAATAAATGTATATTTATTAGTTAACAGCTCAGTCACTAGTGTATAATGTTTGGCGTCTGTAATGATAACAGCCAGGCCTTAATCTCAGTGAGGAAAACCATATAAGAATGCGAGTATATAAGAATAAAACTTGTGCACTGTGGTAGAGTGTAATTCCATTGTGGGTAAATTTTGTTTTGATAAAGTCTCACAGTGTTATACTGTAAATAATATTTACTGATGAACACGTTTCCAGCACAATTTATTGCTCATAATCATATAATAATAACAATTTCGCTTTATACCAGAAACAGTACTTGTGGTACAGTGTGGAATTTTCAGCACACTCACACAACTTCCTAACTTCATTTATATAGTTCCATTATTTCTCACTTGATTTTCACTTGACTTGATTGGTAGTAGTATTTTCCACATTTCTGGTATGAGTGATGAATCATTCCTATCGCATGTGTTGGGTGTAGACTCGATGAACCAGGCAGGATTCAGTAATCAACCTGTCTCTTTACCTACCTAGATTACTTCTTAGAATTTTAAACCTCTGCCACCTTATTGTGTGGTTGTGTGTTAATGCATGCGGTGCGATTTAATGCTGAGTTTTTTCTAAATTACTTATCTTCTCGGGGTCAACCGTTTCAACCTTAGCCAGATTTTTATGTTCGGACAATCTGACTACCCCTGACCTACTGGTATGACCAATGTAGTTGACCTCAGTCACAATCATTGCAAGGTATTTTGTAAATTTTATTATGTTTAATTGGGTCCACCGGTCCTTTAACCCACAAAGCTTGTCCCTGAATGAGTTTGCTTTATTAAAAATCCTACGTAGGGTCTCAGATGTCCCCTCTTTATATGGTATAACTCTAGACGCCTTACATTCCCTCTTATTTATGTTATTATTACTATTTTCACAATTATTTTTATTTTTCGTTTGTCCTTTTTCGACCTTCCTAATGAATTTTGAAGGATAGTTATTTAACATCAACGCCTCTTCTATCTGTTTTATTTCATCATTTAGGTCTTTTCTTGTGCTACTTAGTGCTACTGCTCGGTTTGTTAAACACTTAACTAAGCCTGCCTTAACAGTTAACGGGTGAGATGAACTAAAGCCTAAATATCTATTAGAATGAGTTGGTTTTCTATAAACACTAGTGTGTAGCTTGCCTTTTTCTATTCGTTTCATCTTACAATCTAACATCACAGCTAATTCTCCTTGTTCATTTTCTGATTCAAATGTGAATTTTATTCCCTCCACCAGTGAGTTTATCTGCGTTAGGTATCTAGAGATATGTTCTGTTTTTAACACTGTGAAAGTGTCATCCACATATCTCCACCATATTTTTGGAGTAGGATTGAGCGTATTAAGAGCCATATTTTCTCAGCTGTCCATAAATATATCTGCTACGATTAGGGATATTGGTGATCCTATTGCTACACCTTCTGTTTTTCTATTTATTTTGCCTTGGAATTTAAACATAGTAGATGTGAGGTATAACTGAGTTCCTAAAATAATTCCTTCAATGGGTAGCTTCGTCCTATAAGTGAGTTCAGGATCTGGATTTAATTCTGAAAAGTAATATAAGTAGGTGGAGAAGGAGAGAGGTTGATTACTGAATCCTGGTTCATCGAGTCTACATCTAACACATGCGATAGGAATGAGTCATCAATCATACCAGAAATGTGGAAAATACTACTACCAATCAAGTCAAGTGAAAATCAAGTGAGAAATAATGGAACTATATATGAATGAAGTTAGGAAGTTGTATGAGTACCTTGATATGATTATGAGCAATAAATTGTGCTGGAAACGTGTTCATCATTAAACATTACTGAATGCGAGTATATCCAATGGACAAGTACTAAATACGATGAAAAGGGAATCCTAGTCACTACCCCTAGTATTTGAATAGAAGCCTCTATTTTAAAGACTTCCTGTTGAAAATATGGGTAAATAGTTAGAAGAAAATCACATAGGATGTAATTACATTTATACACACACACACTTAAAACCTACCAGAAACCTGAGGTTCAGTATTACTTCGAAACAGTCTTCCTTTAACTTGTTTACATGGTGTTGATATACTACTTGGTTCAATACTCATTGATGACTGAGCCAGCAGTGAATGCATTTCAGCTGATTGTATTGATTTTTTTTGTTTTCCAGTTTTTTCTAACAATCGTCCGGGTACTTTAACTACTTGATCTAATTTAGGTATACCTAAGGTTAAAGGTGTTTTACAGGTGGGTATATCTACAAGACATAGTGACGAGGATAACGACGAGTTAAGCGTGTTGACAGCATTCTGATAGTGATTTTGATTCTGTACAAAATTTGGTGATAACGATGTTGTGTTGAGCGCTGACGGAGATATTGTTGCTGATGAGGAAAAAGTTGAGGCATTGCCTAAATTTGTACAACTTCTTTTGCGTACATCTTCAATTTCTAGGAGAATTTCTTCATGTCTTAGCAGTTGTAGTTGACAGCGTTTCTCCAGCTCTTTAATTTTTGACTATAAGATAGAGAGAAAAAGAAAAGCACATAACAGAAGGAAATGTTCCACTGATAACTTTTTGACGAAGGCATATTATTTTAAAATATAAATTTCAGTTCATTTTCTAAAGTAACGGAGACTGTTCTAAATTCATTGATGAAACTGTGAAAGAAAGATTTGATTAAAATTTGAACCGGGCTGGAGGCCCTCGTTTCACTCCCGGTCAATATATTCATAAATCTGGCTTAGCTTGCTAATCGATAATGTGCCTAAAAAAAAGGGAATGGTGGTTATAGGGAAATAAGAAATAATGCTTCCACGGAAGCCATTCAGCTGTCTGTTTTGATGTGGTGTTTTGTGTTTGCTTCTGCTTCTTTGCATTCCAAGTGGAATGTGAGCCTTTAAGCCTGCGCTTTGAATTTTCACTAGCAATGCTGTTGATTGTTTTATGGAGTAGGATTGCCAGCCACACGATCAACTTTCCTTCTCTCTGGATGGTGACTGGCAGTGGAATCCAGGATGTGCATTTCGTCCTGTTTGGGACTCGTCAGCCAAAGGATGGACATGCATTCCCATTGAATAATGTGTTCCCAATCAGTTAACGGGAAAATCTAAAATTCAATTAAAAACAATGATTAATATGACCCGTTGCACAAGAGGCAGTGGCTCTCGTGGCCCAATTGCTCTAGTGGATAACGCTTTGGCGTTTGAAACTATGGGCACTGGGTTTGAGCCTCGGTGGTGGGAACATCACCACTCACTGGTGAATGCAGTTACATCCACCGGCTGACGAGTCCTAAATAGGACGAAATGCGCGTCGTGGATTCCACTGCTAGTCACCATCCATCAATTAAAGAGCAAAAGTTTGTTTTCAAAACCCATTTTCTGGCTCAAATAATAGCCAATGAATATTTGCTTTAAACGACCACCCCAACCATTGCAGAGAGTCACTGAATAGCTCTCTTTCAGTCGTATGTGGATGACTTCGTGCCTTTAATTTTCGATTACTTGACTCCCACTTTTTATGCATACAATTTTTTTTTATGAGCCTGACACAGTTAGATGCAGCATTTCTAGTTGAATAAAATGGATTCATCTAATATATTATCGGTTCCTTGTCAATGAGACATTTTATCACAGCTGTACTCGTATTTCAGCAGAGAGATCGCAGATATGAAGTCAAACTTCTATTAGCTACCGATTAGAAATTGGGTATGAATTTATGTTAAATACTGCAAGTTTTATTATCAGTAAATCCGCCAGTGACCAATATTTTCACTTTATCTCTCTACATCAATCTATACATTAAATGCGGCTGGCTAACATCAGCTTATCTGAGACAGTTTGACTATTATACAGTTATTTCTTATGGAATGATGTCCAACACAACTAGCTACTTAAAAGACGCATCATATTTTCCCAATTAAATTTAATGAGTAATTTCAGGATCGATAACAAGCTGATATTAGTTAGAGAATCTGAAAGTGCTGGACAGCTGTTTACTCCTGGTTTGGAACTCTTCATCAGTACGCAGCCACCGCCAGCCTTCAGATGCAAGACCTTCTGGTTATGAGGTGAGCTCGTAGACCATTTATCCACTGGGATTGGATCGAACACTCCGTGAATTCCGACTTCCGTCAGTTCGTGGTATATATTTAGCGCAATCGCCACTCGGCGTCCTTTTACTTGACCCGATCTAACTCTGTAATTCTGTATAATCTGCTATGAAATGAGAAAACCTGATAGGGTAGCGGCTTGTACGATGGTGTAGACAAACAGTATTAATTACAAGGGTTTTTGCCGGGAAGTTAAGGCACAGCCTGTATCTCCAGCGAAGAAATATTTCTAGAAGTAAGAAGTGTGGTGTCGATAAAAATAATGAAGGTGAATGAATGCCGCTATGCCTGACATATAGAGCAATTAAATTCATAGGGAAAATTTGCAAACAAACAGAGGGAGTTACCATGGGGTCACCAGTATCCCCGATAGTGGCAGACATATTCACGGAAAGGTGGAAAAACGTAGCGATTGAAACATTCAGCCCAACCACATACGTTTGGTGGAGGAATGTAGGTGACACATAGAACACAGGACATGAATAGGTTTTCGAACATATCAGCTCGAAGGTGGAGGCCATTCAGTTAAGAAAGTTAAGAAAGGGATCTTTCAATATTAGATTGTAGCATAAAAGGTTAAGAAGTACGGTAAAGTAAACAAAAAAGTTTAGCTTATCTAGTACCCAGAAATGCGCGTTGGTGGTTCAGTGTTGGGACACTGCCTAACCAAGAAAGTAGTCCGCGGTTAAATCCCTTGCCGGTGCACTCCTCTAATGAGCGTAGCCAGTAGTAAGCCCAATGGAGAACGGAAGTTTGGTGTGAGGTTGGCAAGCTCTTCCCGTAAAACACACCAATGCTACTGAAACTTCAGAGCTCTTGCTTGAAGCCCTATGTTCCACTGATAACGAAAAAAAAATTAAAAAAAACATACCAAGAAAATGATTGACCGATCAAATACATTGGTCAAGGGGGTAGAACGGATTCAGCTAGTCAGATTAGCAGAACACAAAAATCTAGCTTAATCTGGATTATTTGACCCCAGTAAGATAGCAAGAAATCTCAAGAATAGTACGGCTATAGCACTCACTAAGTGCAGTTACATACAACCATACAGTGGGATGGGATAAGATGACAGTTCTAAAATCTAATGTAGCAGGGTGGAGGAAGAGTTCGATAACAGAGGCTTTGTTCGTCAAATCAACTGCAAATACGTATAATACAAATGATTCAACGCTTATCCAGCCGGACATCTGGAAAATTCTACTACCACAACGAAGAATAGGAGAGAACAAGGAGAACTATAAAACTCAGGTTTCAAAATCATGTGATTACAATTGAGTTGATTATGAGGAGTAATAAATTGTGTTCGAAACTTTGTCATCCAGTAACTAATGCTGTTGCACACTGTGTGACATATCTAATAAACAAACGGATATAATATCACACAGTACCATATAACGAAGGCAAAGATAAAGTGAAGTGGAATGACTTGAACCGACTAAAATGACAAAGAAAACACTATCACGACTAAGGTGAATACAGAGTTTGGGTCTTATTTCATTATTGTCAATCGAGTCAGTTGCACATAAGTGGTGAAAACATAAAATCTTACATTGGTTCAATTTAGCCCTTTGGATAACTTCAATGTATAAAGGGCACGGGAGTAAATGGCGCAACTAAGGACGGTTTTGATGGGGAGGAACTTTTATCACTCTATGCTTGCTTTCATCGGCCAAACTTAGTATATTTCAGTTACACTTTTCCGGTGAACACGCTTACGAAGTCCAAGGTATTCAGGTCCACACGCGTATGTTGACATAAGTGGTGTAGCTCATCTTCTATGCAGTGTCGACTAATACTTCATTCCGAGAATACTTAGTGTAAGTTGGCGGCACACAAAGAGAGTTTGGTTAACTTAGATAGACAAATTTTAATTGCTCCAGTGTGAAGGTTACCAATCTCATAATTAGTGTCTTTTTTAGCACGATAATTTAGCTGAGAATAATTTCTTTCCTCAAAGCTTTTTAAGTCAGCTCTCTATCTCAACTTTATTGACTTTGAAAAGGCCTTCGACAGCGTCAGTTCAGAGGTGGTTTGGTAACTACTTCGCTACTACGGGGTGCCACCAATAATTATACATCTCATCCAACAGTCGTAAGACAATGCTGCATGTAAAGTAATACACGACAGGCAACTCATGGAATCCCTCGAAGTGAAGACGGGCGTAAGACGAAACTGGCTGCCTACTGCCTCCAATGATTTTCCTGATTGCAACAGACTGGATAGTACGACAGACAGAGGGTAGGGCAGCGAGGAAACAGGCATACAATGGACACACACAAAAGAAGCTCTGGGGATCTCTACTTCCCGATGATGATATATGTCTGATTTCCCACAAACTGAAAGATGTGCAAGTGGAAAGAAACAAGTTGGCAGAAGTAGCATCAAAGATAGGAAGGACTTCAGGTAAACATAGAGAAAATAGGAGTGATGAAGATTCCTGGCTAACAGCAACAACAACAGACAAAAATCAGCCAGCATAAATAGGTGAAATCTGAAAGAAGCAACCTTCTTTACCCGACATCGTTTCAACTACAGATGGACGGAACTCATGACGATATCAAAGCAGCGAGAATCGGGAAAGCACGATAATCTTTCATTACTCTCAAGTCAGTATGGAGGAGATCAGCAGCACTCAGCATGGAAAATAAGATCCGGATTTTCGACTCTTATGTGAAGTCAGTGCTAGTCACTATGCGGACCAGAGACTTGGCCAGCGCCTCACCAAAGCCACTTCGAACAAATTACAGACCTTCATCAACAGCCATCTTCTGTCAATACCACTCAAGATAAGGTGGACGGCCAGTAAAAGATCAGCAACAGGGATCTCTGGCCATGATCGAACCAACCCAGCGGAAACCAACTGGGCTACAAATAAGCAGGAAAAAATTGAGGTGGATTGGCCACAATTTGAGAAAGCAAACCGTCAAGTGACATCAAATGCCAAGCCATTGATCGAGTGGAATCCAAAAGGGCAAGTTGGTCGTCAGTGCGAGGTGACATGGAGGAGGTGATGCGAAGAGTAGACGAAAGTATGTATGCAGACGTGGAGTCAGGTGAAAACGCTGGTAGAGAACCGAACGCAATGGAGAAGTGTGGTTGAAGCCCTATATTCCTCTAGGAATTAAAGGAAACAGTAATAAATAGTAATTCCTTATTCAAAAGCCTTGAACGAAAGTTTTCAAGTTCATCGTCAACTGTATCTATAGAGTAGATTTTCAGAAGTCTGGAATATGGGGATTGAAGACGGTTTCTTTTTCTTTCTAGAGTTACTCAAAGGTTCAGTTTAGTCTACTGTCTTATAAAGGTTAACTTTCAGTAGACAAAACGTTTTAATCTTTAATATGTAAAATTTGGTATCGGACTTTACTTCAATAGATGGGTGGCAACCTTCACATTGTT